CCTCGTATCTACGAGCTAACCGGGCCGGATCGTGACAAAAAAGACTTTCAAACAAGTTTTACGAGAGACTAGAAATATCTTGTACAATAATAAAAAATTGAAGCTCGAGCAAGAATGTAGAAAAACTGAATAAGAAAAAAAATGTTTTTATAGAATAGAAAAAAAAAATTAATAATATTAAGGGTTATAATGATGATTAAAAACTACAATTCTTGCAAAAAATTGTAGTGAGCAAACCAAAAGCTATAGCTTCTAATCATTTAGATTAGGCACTAATAAGGGGAAAAGGGATATATAGAATGGGTACGGCAAGAAATATGAGATCTAAAGGATAAGAAAATGTTACTATGAGAAATCATTAAATGAGATTTATTAAAAAAATTCTTAGAAATGTATAATAAAAAAAATAATGAGATTTGTTGGGTTAGCTCTAATGTAGATGCCTAAGGTAAATCTTCAAGTCTAAATGAATAATCTACAGAGAATTATAGAGTTATGAGAGTATTGTTGTGCTTGATCAACAAATATTTTTAATAGACTTTTGAAGACAAATGACATATCAAATGAATGGGGAAGAAGCATTTTGAAACCAACCTTAAGAATAAAAAAAAATGTTCAAAATTATTTAACAATAGAGAAAAAAAACTTATGAGTCATACAATGAAGCGCTGGCAAGCAATGAAATATAAAATTTGAAGAATTACATCAGTTTGAGTAAACAATTTGTTCCCATCACAAGAAGTTTGTCACGGAAACGATTTTAGTGTTAAAAAAATTAATTAAAAAAAAGTAAAGGGTGCAACGGAATGATCATCACACACGAATTTTGTTGAATTTGAGGTATATAATTGTGTGCTATAGAAATTGATTTGGTGCATGTTAAGAAAGAAAGATATGTTAAAGGAATATTTAAGTTGTTAAGCATATGCATGACAGCACATTTCATAGCATTAATAGTAGTGGATAGACAAAAGATTAAATAATTACAATAGGATTATATCAAGAATCAGCAATAAGACCATATAGTTTTTAAATTTGACAGATGCTTACAAAGGATATGAAAAATGTGGTTTCTTAATTTATGTCTTTCACAAATCACAATTCTAATCAGTTTGGTATTTGCTAAAATGAGTGAAAATTTTGAACAATAAAGAACATATTTAAAAGATAAAAAAGCATTGAATTAGTATAGCAAAAATAAAGTATGTAATATGTAATTTAATAGTGTATGATATTCAAAATTATTGATCAATATTATTACAAGATAAATTGAACACTATTGTAAGAGAATTTAGCATCTTGGATAAATTATTTAGAAAAATGGAGATATGGATGAGGATACAACTTTAGAGTCAAAGCTGCAAGCTTAAAATGAAAGAATGACTGAAGCTTATTGTTCAACAATAGAATATGTGAGAATTGAAGGTAAATTTAATAAAACTACAATTAGGCCAATCAAGTTGTATAGATTTCAATGTAGGGCAGTAAGAAAATAATTGACAACTAAGTTGATAGTAGTGGAAATGAAAATATTAAAAAGAATGAATAACAAAATTAAGAATGATAAATTAATGAATATTTATATTAGAAGAATGATTGGAGTGATATTTTTTAATATAAAGGAAAATAGCAGCCAATAGAAAGGTAGATAAAAATTAACATAGGAGGAATAGGATAAGGCACATAGGAGGATAGGATAAGGCTAATGATGATGATTTTGACGACAACGTATAACTTGGTATTCTAATAACCAATAACCAGAACTTTTGAGGGAAATAGTTTACTTTCCTGTTGGTAAAAAGAAAAGAATAATGCTTTCTCAATAGGCAAAACTTACAAGAGTTTTGATAGTTGTGAAAGAGCTCGCAATCAGTGGTCCAGCAAGAAATTCCCAAGGCCATGTTTGATCCTTCCGCAAAGGCAGTTGATCCAGAAGCAAAAAGAAATTAATAATCCTTCTGAAATACTCTTGAATTATTTTTGAGAAGATTTTATGTTGTAAAAGAGCCAAACAATATTTCACAAATGTTGCATAGAAATCATGGAGCAAACTCATATCTTTCAATGAAACATGTGTCAATATATCAACAATACATTTGCCTAATTCTTGAATATAGCTTGAAGAATATTTTTTTGCTCCAGCTGACTTGTCATTTGATAATGGATTACCTTCAACCCTAGTAATTATTTCCAATGAAGTTTCACCATGATTTTTGGAGTTCATTGGAAGATAATCATACCATAAAAGCATTATAAGAATACCATTAACAAGTTGTATAGATAGAGAACTTCGGCCAGAATCACTTTTGGAAAACCTGCAGGAAAACATGCATATCAAAAGAGGCAAAAATAAACCACTCATAAGAAAAGATTGGTCGGCAAAAAAATATTGTTAACTTCTAACAAGTCAATCTTTCATGTTTCACAAACTCACACCTTGTTGCATTGTCTAATGCCCACAAAAAACATTCTTGAAATGCCTTAAAGAAAATAGCATTATCTGTGGCTGAGCGCAATAAATTTCTTCCAGCCCAGAGGCTTTGGAAAAATAACAGAAGAAATTGCTCCCCATTAACAGCCTTAGGAGGCAAAGATTCTAATAAAATCAACAATGCTGGATATGAAACTTTCTGTGATCCATAGCATCCATTTCTTAGAAATTGCCACAGTCCATTTAAGATGGTTTTAAGAATATTGTTGGAATACCAAGCATCTGGAAATCTTCTGGAGAAAAGCAGAATCATATCCCACATTGAAGAATGGCACGACATATCTTTCTCTTGGAAAGAACCAAGTATAGCTGCTGCTAGGGATTTCATGTTTCCTTCATTATAAGCATGAGGGATATTTTTAACATAGATTGTTAGAACTGAATATGTCGCCGAACGAATAGCAGGGCTTTTATGCTTAAGAAAATCTAGAAAAAAATTATGCACCGAAAATAACTTTTCAGCAGCAGATGTAACTGTTATCCTAGCTTTGGAAGCGAGCTTTTGTTCAATGCTAACAATTTCAGAGCTAGTTTCTACTCCTTTGCTCAGTAGTATATCAATCAGAGTTGCAATGGCCATCAGTGAACACGATATCACCTGAAGATAAAATATTGAAAACCAGAATGTAAGACGGAATAGGAATTTGCTGGGAAAGAAAGAGACGGATCATAGATAAACAATAATAGATGCAAAAACTAAAACCATCCTAATACACACAGACAACCACGGTGATTTATTTTTTAAAATTTTAAAGTCACTTCTTCCCTTTAAGAAATTGTGAACAAATTATGATCACTCTAAGTACTTTAAATTCAACCAATAGTTTTCATGGATATATTGCAATTCTCCCATTGGATTTAGATTTCATATCTCAAATTCCAAGAGAATATGAGGCCAAAGGTAAGTGAGCATTTTTATTGTTTTCCATAAAGAAAAAAGGAAAGAAATGCACCAATACAGTGATGAATGATATATTAAATGTGAACAATTTGTAGAAATGCAACAATGAATGCTACAACAATTGAAACTAATAGTCACAATGCAACGATGAAGGCTGGTGTTATAGAAAAACAAGAGAAAAGAAAAAGAAAAAGAATGCAAAAATTAAGGTTACAGGATTGTGGTCATGCAACGATAAAGGATGCATCAATGAAAATACAAGTAAATAAAACTTAGGGCTCTAAATTCATGCAAGAATTGGGGAGAATTGATTATCGCATTCCAATATTTGAATAAGATTATACAATCATAGGAGAGCTTCTAATATTAAACCTTCAAAATCAGATAATAATAATAATAAAATAATTACAATAATCCACAAATTAATAAGTAGGTACTAAGGATCCCACATATAAATGAGAGGAAAGCGGAAGTGGAAGGAAAGAGGGTGAAAGTATTGGAAAGTGTGGATCCTAATTAGCAAAAACTATGCAAACGCTTCACACAAAACATTTATGCAATATACCCAGATTAAATAAGCAAATCAATTGTTTCAATATTGTAAATATTGCAAACAAGAGAGGCAAGTATAAATTTAATCATGAAGTTATGCAAATGGGCAAAATAAAATAAATAATAAAAATAAAAGATGCACATACCCTATGGTGCATATCTTCCAACTCATCCATAGGTGTAGCCTTATCAGACATAGCATGTGGTGTGAGCTTCAGATTCTCGTCTAGATACACAAAGATCGAATCCACACATAAAACAAGGGCATCAAACCTTTTTTCTGGTGCAGGGAATGCAACCTTCAATAAAATAAGGCACATAATGAAAACATGTATTTGTGCATACATATTACAAGGATAATTTATTTAATATCTAAAAACTCACGTTAGAAACAGTACTCCAAAGGCTTTTCCAAAGCCTACAGGCTGCAACAGCAGGATCAGTTTTCCATGGCTTGGTCGAAAGGCATAAAGCCCATGACATTCAGCATTTTTGTGTATGGTTCCAAATTGTCTATTTATACATTTATTTACTATGACAGAAACTGGATGCATTTTTAAAAGCCCTCCTTATATGGAAGAACGCTGTGCTATGAAACCAAATACATTTCCCAACTGCTGGAGATCCCAATGAGAGCCTTAATTTAGCAAACATACTATTTATTGCTAGGAGTTACACTTTGTATTCACGAATTGTAAAATGATCACCACAAGACCACATCAATTTCAACAGCTTTCCCCCAACTTTTGGGGCCACCTTAAGTTGTAAATGGATCTAACGATTGAATTCAAATTATTTATTAGAAAGTTCAGGACCATGAAGTGGATAATGGAGTCGTCATAGAAACTAATTACTCATAGTTTTATAATTGCATCTACAGACTTGCAATTTCTGATTTTAGTTAGTATAAATTTAAAACGTTGGACAATAGGAACATTATTTCGTTATATGGGATGCTATATGCTAAATTATTCGTGAAAGTTGCATTATTCTTAATTTTTTAATTAGCTATGCATGCTAGAAACAAGATAAGTAACGCAACAAAAAAATTTAAGATATTGTTATCCATGAAAACCAAAAGAAAAATGTGAGGTTACTCCGCATTTTAATAAATCAAAGATGATTCAACGCAGTAACTCTCAGGGCTATGAGCTTCACGTCTGGGTAACAATGCAAACAAGGTTTTGCAGCAGAATATTACGTGCCCACAAGAGGAGAATGGTGGGGTTAAGAAAGGAGGAAATTGCAATTGAAAAGTAAATTCAAACTGTATAGCAGAGACCTCTAAGGAACACCTGGCTGCTTGAGAAACCTCAGGAATTGGATCAAATTGAGCGCACCACCAAGGTCCCATCAAAGACTTCAAATGTGGAGCCAAGCCCCTCCTGGAAAAAATATTTTAATGTTACAATCAATATTCCAAAGTGTAAAGGCTTAAATGAATCCTCAGTAGAGACCAAGAATATAACATTCCATTGCGTAAATAATTATACCATGCTATCAACATTTTTTGTCAAAAATAATTTTGAGAAAAAAGTTCTTATTTAGGAAAAGAAACCAACCAAAAATTAGTTTTTTGCTAGAATTTATTATACTGTAGGAAAATAAGAGATGATTATCACCAAGCAAGGAAGAGCAATCCATAAAAGGTTTGTATAAACATTTTGGTGGGATTAGCAAGACAATGAAGAACAAAAACAGACTCATTCTCGTGATCCAAATGATATTATATCCTACTCAGAATCAGTAAAACAACAAATCTATCACAAAGCACACGCATTAAACAAAAGCTTAAGTATCTAGTTAGAATTTCTCATCCTGAAGGAAAATAAGATAACATAATTAGTAAGCAAGCAAGGGTTATCCATAAAAGGTTTTAAAAATCCATGGTTTAAAAAATCGTTCGAGACTTACGCCTTGAGGCGTGCCTCAAACTAAGGCGCACAATGAGCGCCTTGAGGCTTAAGCCTCACTAATGTTAGTGAAGCTTACGACTTTTTAAATGAGGTACACGCCTCAAGGCCTAATGCCTCAAAGCATTTTGAGGTAGCGCCTCATTATAGTTAAGTTTTATAATTTTTTATTATATATTATTATTAATAATATATATACTTTATTCTATTATACAAAGAGAAGGAGACAATTAGCAATAGGACGAATAAAAAAGGCTGAATGACTGTGTTATGTTTAATAAAAATTTGAAAGATAAACACTTCAAATTATAGAGGCGATTAACTGGTGAAGATGAAATAAATCTTTTGATTGTTAATGATATATTTTCTAATGATGAATGAATTTGATAGGAAATACTTGAGTTCGCAAGTAAACCTAAGGTAATACTTGAGTTCGCAAGCAAACCTAATCAAGATTAGCACAAAAACAGAGGAAAAACTGCTGTCCCTGAAGTTTAGCTCAATGATTGGAGATTAAATGCACTTCCTAGCTCATTAAATCAAAAAGGTATGCTTTTATTCAAGCTCATTATTGAGGAGTTTATTGGAGTGGACTTGTGCCTCTTCCCCGCCCTTTGCCTTCTCAGTTTTCCCTTGCTGGTTGGTTTCCTATGCTCTGCATCTTTTTCTCCTGTGCTGGCTTTTCGGGTCCCTTGCTGGCTGGTTTCCCGTGGCCTGTTGCTTTGTCTCCTGTGCTGATTTTTTGGGTCCCTTGCTGGCTAGATTCTCGTGGTTGTTTGGGGGGAATTCCATAGAATTTTCCCTATTTTCTATGCAGATCTCCTGCTGCTGTTTAGCCTTCTATTTGGTGACTTTTAGCCTTTCATTTCTCCAATTCTTATTGGATTTGGTTGGAGGTGTTATGGCTATTTGTCTACCTTCTTTTGCCTATAAAAATGAATTGTTTTGGCATGAAAAAGGTTGTTAAAAATTGTGAGCAAAGTCTCTACAAAAACCTGAGGGTTTCTTCTCTTGGAAAAGCTTGAGAGCTTGTTCCAACCCCTTTCCTCCACTCTATTTCGTCTTGGCTTCTAACCTTTTCTTCTCTATGCAAGTTCCACTCCACCTGTATCCTTCTTCTTGAGCTTTGGAAGTGTATATTGGCTGAAATTTGGAGACATTTGTCGGAGGAGTTTGGTAGGACGTTGGACTCTTTTGCAGTGGTGAACCCTCGGTTTGCAAGCCTAAACATAATTTTATTATATATTCCTACTCTCGTTGCATGTGAGGAGATCGCTAGACGGTTTTACTGAGAATAGTGTTTTATGATTTTTATTTTGTTTCGTTCGATTTGGCTTTTTATTTCTTCGAAGTTTGTTTGGTTGTTTGCAAGCAACATTTGAATCGAGTTTGGTCTAAGCCTTGTCCTGGTGTTCTTCAATTTGTCTCTTTATTCTAGTTTTGCAAGCATCAAATTGGTATCAGAGCGAGTTAGGAAATCCTTAGTTTGTGAGTCCCTTGTTTCTTTTGAGTTCTAAAATGGCTAATAATCCGGGAGAATGGCAAAATGTAATGCAACAATTAGCGGATTTGCAAAATCAGATGAATGAAATGGCTAATACACTTGCTAATCTTAATGTTAATCAACAATATGTTCAAACATCTGAAAGTGAAGAAGAAGTCCCTAGGAATCAAAATAGGCGACAACGAAATTGGGATTTTGGGATTAAAATTGATGTTCACAACTTTGAGGGTAAGTTGCAACCTGATCTATTTCTCGAATGACTTGAGAAAATAGATCAATTTTTTAATTGGAAAGAAATTCCTGAAACTAGGAAAGTGAAATTTGTAAGCTTAAAATTAAATGGCCATGCTCTTACATAGTGAAAAATTTTACAAAACAACAGACTTAAGCGTGGGAAAGAAAAGATACAAAACTGGGAACGTATGAAAGTAAAAATGAGAGGAAAATTTTTACCATCTGATCACGCACAAACTTTATTTCAAGAGTTCAATAACTTGCGACAAGGAACTCAAACTGTGGAAGAATACACTGAATTGTTTTACAAACTTCAATCAAGAAATGATTTAGATGAATCTGAAGAGAAAACTGTTTCAAGATACATTAACGGCCTTAATTGGACAATTCATGATCACTTGAACTTGCATCACGTAATAAACATTGACGAAGCATATTGAATGGCTTTGAAACTTGAAAAGCAACATCAAAGAGAAAGGTCATAACAAGATAATAGAAACTTATAAGCAGCGACCAAATGGCGGGATTAAGAGTCAAACTCAAATTTCTGTTGGAACATCAGGTATTAAAGCTAAACCTTTTGAAAATCAAAATGCTGATAAGGGAAAAGGAATTATGGGGTCTAAGCCATCTGAACAACCTAGAGTAATTAGATCTTGCCACAAATGTGGGTTCTATGGTTATCTTTCTGCAACTTGTAGAAAAAACAACCCACCAAGAACTAATTTCATTGAAAATGATGAAAAAGTAGATGAAGAGGAAGAAAATAATTCTAAAACTGAAAATGACATAGAGTTAAAAAAACATGATGTTGAGGTGGATGAAGGTGAAACATTTTTGGTAATCCGATAAGTCTTAACAACAAAAATTGACAACGGAGACAAGTGGCTTAGAAGAAACATTTTCAAAACAACTTGTATAGTTGAAGGGAAAATTTGCACTCTTATGACAGATAGTGGAAATTCAGGAAACTTTGTATCTCAACTGATGGTTGATAAACTAAAATTGAAGTCGAAACCGCTTGCTAAGCCTTATAAAGTGGGAGGTGAGGTTCCTATCACAAAGCAATGTGTTGTTAGTTTAACAATTGGGCGCTCTTTTAAAGATCAAGTTACTTGTGATGTTGTGCCTCTAGAAGTTTGTCACATTCTGTTGGGTCGACCTTGGCAATTTGATAACAAAACCATTCACAACGGGGAAAAGAATACTTACTCTTTGATTCAAAACAACAAGGAATGCACTCTCTATCCTCAAAAACCTGTGCCTAATTCACCTGCTAAAAACAACAAAGTTGCCAAAATAAGTACTCCTGAATTGCTTTTGAATGCGAATGATTTGAAACACTCTGATTTAGCTTACCTAGTTTTGGGAAAATAAACTAATCCTGTTCTTCAAATTCTTAATGAAATTCTGTCTTTAATCGATGAGTTTTCTGATTTATCACCTAAAGAACTGCCTGTAGGTTTGCCACTGATGAGAGATATTCAACATCATATTGATTTAATTCCTGGAACGACTTTGCCTAATTTACCTCATTATATGATGAGTCAAACTGAACATGCTGAACTTTTTAAGCAAGTGACTGATTTGCTAAAAAAGAAAATATTTAGGTGGACACCTCAAGCTGGACATACTTTTGAATTCATTAAGAAAAAATGAGTCAAGCTCCCATTCTTAGTTTGCCAAATTTTGAAAAAAAAATTGAAGTTGATTGCGATGCTTCTCATGTTGGTATTGGTGCTGTTCTTAGTCAAGAAGGAAAACTTATTGCTTACTTTAGTGAAAAACTGAATGATGCTCGATCCAAATATTCTACTTACGATTTGGAGTTTTATGCTATTGTTCAAGTTTTGAAATTCTGGAGATGTTACTTGATTCAAAGAGAATTTGTTTTAAATACTAATCATGAAGCTCTCAAAAAAATTTGAATAAGAGGCATGCTAAGTGGGTTTCCTTTTTGCAAGAGTATACTTTTCATGTCAAACATAAAACTGGTGTTTTGAACAAGATTGCTGATGCTTTAAGTCAGAGATCTCATTTGTTGGCAATTGTTTACCCGACTATTACTTCTTTTGATTTTTTGAAAGATACTTATGCTAATGACCATGATTTTAAAAACATTTGGGATTCTTGTCTTGCTTCTAGAACTAATCCTACTGCTTAATTTGTTATTCATCAAGGATTTTTGTTTAAGGGATCTAGACTTTGCATAACAAAAAATTATTTAAGAGAACTTGTGCATGAACTTCATAGTGAGGGATTGAATGGACATTTGGGGCAGGGAAAAACTATGGCTTTAGTTGAGGAAAAATATTTCTGGCCTCATATGAGAAAACAAATTGCTAAGCTGGTGAAACAATACAAAATATGTCAGACTTTTAAAAGAACTTCTCAAAATGTTGGTTTATATACTCCCCTTCCAATTCCTCATAAACCTTGGGATGATATCTCTATGGATATTGTTTTGGGATTGTCTGTTACTTTTAAAAAGTTTGATTCTATTTTTGTGGTGGTAGATTGATTTAGCAAAATGGCACATTTTGTTCATTGCAAGAAAACTTCTGATGCCTCATATATTGCTGATTTGTTCTTTAAAGAAATTGTTCATCTTCATGGTGTTCCTCGCACTTTTACTTTTGATAGAGATACTAGATTTTTGAGTCATTTTTGGAGAACGCTTTGGGCAAAATTATGAACTACACTTCAATTTAGTAGTGCATATCATCCACAAACTGACGGGCAAATTGAAGTTGTAAATCGAAGTTTGTGAAACTTGTTGAGATGCCTGGCAGGTGAGAAACCATCCTAATGGGATTTGATTTTGCCCCAAGCTGAATTTTCTTACAATAATTCTGTTAATCGCTCCACTGGTAAAACTCCATTTCAAATCATTTATGGTCAGCCTATACCTCACATTTTAGATAGAAACTGTTTGCCTTTGCCAAATAAATTAGTGTTGAAGCTTCTGAAACTTTTGACCATCTTAAAACTGTCCAATAGCAAGTTCTTGAAAAACTTCGAATGGCTAATGTGAAGTACAAAACTAATGCTGACAAACATCATAGAGAGGTTTATTTCAAAGAAGGAGATTTGGTTATGGCTTACTTTCGTCTCCAACGATTTCCTGTTGGTACTTTTGGGAAATTAAGCAGGAAGAAATTTGGGTCATTTCGTGTTCTAAAAAGATTGGGCTCAAATGCTAATCTTTTGGATCTTCCTTCTACTGTTGGCACTACTCCTGTGTTTAATATTTCTGATCTTGCTTTATATGAAGGAAATACTGACGATCATGTGGAACTTGAAACTTTACCACTCTCCACATCTTTTTTGAGTTATGATGAGCAGGTTGAAGATATTATGGATGTCAAAACTACAAATAAAACTCGGCATGGTGAACACATGAAGTTCTTAGCAAAATGGAAAAATCGCCCTTTGACGGACTGTACTTGGATGGATGCAAAAGAACTTGAAAAGCGTCATTCAGAGCTTTATAAAAAAGTGGTGGAAGCTTTCTCATCAGGAGATGAGATTTTTCCACCAGGAGGGAATTGATGCATTCAATATTTTAGTTTATTTTTTTTTAATGTATTTTGAACAATATTAATTGTGTTTTATGTTTTTAAGCTATCCTATGATGGTTGAGCTTCCAATGATCATGGTAGGAATTTGCTAGGCATGACAAGCCTTGGGTTTGCTTGCTCTTGGGTCCATTTTGTCCTTCAATGTATTCCAATGGATTTAAGCACAAGATAAATAATCTTTCAGCACAAGGCCGACAAGCATAATAAATCATGTTAAGTTCTAGGCTATGATGCACCGACACTTCTCCTCAAAGAGGCGTGCAGTGTCCGACACGACACTCGTCCGACACTCCTCCGACACGTGTCGGACACGCCGAAAATGTGTCCGATTAAAAAAATATTAAAAAAAATTGGACACGCGTGTCCGACACGCATATCTTAAATATTTTATAATTTTTTTAAAATATAATTTCTTATATTTTGCGATATTTAAATTAAATTTCTTATTTCATATCCACAACACCAAATCAACGTCTGCATTTAATACCCATTCATCGAATATTCTCATTTTCATTTCTCTTTGGCAGTGAAGGTATTTTCATCTCCTCTCTTTTTGCACAATTACAAATCTTTCTCTTGTTGAACCAGAGTTAAAAGTAATGATATTCAATAATGATGATATTGAAGGCCAAAAACAAACCTCTAAAGCTAATCCTAGTAGTTGAAGCTTGAATGCTTGATGTTGTAGTAAGTGATTATTTGCTTATATTTTTGTGATTATTATAGATATTTTGTACTAAATATTTTATATTATAAGCTAGACAAGTTATCATGTCATTCATTTATTATTGTTTGTCATTTTTAATATGATATTACATTAATATATATACACTATATAAAAAAATGTATTGACGTGTCCGCGCCGTACCCATGTCCTATATTTTCAAAAAAAGCCGTGTCCCGTGTCTATGTCGTGTCGTATCCGTGTCGCCGTGTCCATGTCCGTGCATCATAGGTTCTAGGGCCTTTCATTAGACGTAAATCCTAACTTAAACTAAGCATGAGTCGAATCTCATGCTAAATACCCCATCAATCAAAAACAAATCCATAGACCAAAATCACTCATGTCTAAGTTAAAACTCAAGGATAATTGATAATCATGCCATACTTCTAAACATTTTTATTCATGTTAAATACCTCTAAATTTCAAATGATCATATCATGTACCACTGAATTATACAATGCAACTAGTATGGGCAACCTCTATCAATGAATGAGTTTACACTAACTTTGAAAGCATATCTTTGACATACACTTCCACACCAAACTGTTTAGGCTACTTGAAATGAGGTAAACCATGGTTGTTAATCAGGATAAGTTTGATTTTCCACTTAATTAATTTCCTCAGTTCATGGCTGCTCAGTAATTATGAAAATTTTAAACTTATTATCCCTAAGCCATTGCTTTAGTAGATAGGCATGATTTAAGAAAATAATCCCAAAGTTCAGAAGATATCTACTAATTTCTCATGGTTTGTTGTGCCCAATGGCAAAGTACATACAACACATAGTGTAAAACAATTATTAATTAGTATGATTTAAAAAGTTTAACCTGATAAAAAACGATTCAAATAAAGCTCTTCGGTTGACATAGTCTAGGTTATTTTTCTCTCCAAGGTGAAGCTTATTTCTCATGATTTTTTAACAATGGTCACTTTGAGGCAAGTTAATAATGAAATTGTTGAAAATAAAGCAGAGAATTCATTTAAAACTATGACTTACATCTTGTTTAAATAGTTTTGTTAGTAGAGAGTCTGCATATTTAGGATATATTTGGAACTGCTTTTTCATTGTTTTGTTTTTCATATTGTATCACATCTTATTTGACTATTATTTTATTGATGCTTTACAAGAATTTCTATTACGAGAAGATATTTTTTACATTCAGATCTACTAGAGGGTGCTAGCTATAAGAAAGTAATTTGAATTTTTTTAAAATAAAAAATATTGAGAAAAGGACTAAAATAATCCCTTGACTCTTTATTAAGGGTAAAAATGGTTCCCAACTATGGGACTATTTTGGTTCTTATTTAAGGAGTTTAGGAACCAAAATGATCATTTAATATAGTTGGGGACCATTTTGACCCTTCATAAAGAGTCAAGAGACTATTTTAGTCCTTTTTCTCAAAAACTATTTATAACACACATGATCGCTTTCAACAAAGCTGCCTGCCCCACAATAGATCTATAGCTACAGTTGCCCCAAATGAATTCTTAGTTTAATATAGCATAGGAAAAAAACAAAGATAAAATGTTGCTTCAGAGCATTACATAAACTCAACCTGACAACAACAACAAGAGTAGCCATGGTATCATGTGTAGCCCGCCGTACATCCCTATTATAGTCAAGCAATAGCCTTTTGTACTCGTATGCCTATTATAATTATGAAAGAAATTATAATTAGCCAGCATGGTGATACATGTTCTATATTTTACAAGTATAAGTGGCATGCAAAAAATTGAATGCTCAATAATGATCAAATGGATACCTTTCATGTGAAATTGACATATATAAGAAAAGTTTAAGATTAGTAGTAAAAAATAATTCAAAAATCATAAAATAATTCAAACTGGCAATATGTATCTAGACGGAATGTTCTCAAGACAAATCATAGCATTACCTAAAATAACAGTGACAGCAGAGATAAAAGTACTAAAATTGTACAACAAAGTGTTCTACAGTCAAGCATATTCACAAATAAATTGAGAACATTGGAAAAGTAACAAGATGGTTAAGGGCCCCTTGATAGTTTAATTCTAAACTTCTTGATTCATCATTGTCGAAAAGCATGCATTAATAATATATACAAATTGAACTTTTTAGGGGTATGTTTGGGCCACCTTGGAAAAATTCAGAAACTTGAAAAGTGCTAGAAGGTTAGGAAGCAAAAATATTCCATTTAGGAGTTGTTTGAGGTAGTTTTCTCATCGCCATCAAGCCTGTTTGGTAACAAATTTTTCTTGCTTTTTCAGAATTTTACTGTGAGAAATAGCTTTTTATAACTAGATCTACTTGAGTGTATAGTTGTACAAAAATTGATATCCAACTTTTTCAAAAAAAAAAAAATTTTTATTATATCCACAAGTTTAAAAAAATTATTTTCCCCATAATAATTTAACAACTTTTATAAAAAGCTACAACCACCTCAAATGGAATTAATTTTAAATGTTTCCTTCAAAATATTTTGTGAATGTGCATTCTTCAAGTTTAAAAATGAATGTACAAGATCAAAAATTCTAGAATTTAGCAACTCTATAGCATAATAAATATTGAAAAAATGATGGGGGATTTACATATATACCACAAAATTGTATGTATTTATATATTTAACACTTAAATTTTTATATTTACTTATATACTACTATTATATCCTTAACTCTTACTTATTACTACTATAGTATCTAAATTACATCAAAACACATCAAAAAAAAAGTGTTTTACTTTAAATAAATTAATATTAGTGATAGTTTTAATATAATTTAGATATTTAAGCATCATGTAAGTAAATATAAAGATTTAGATGTTAGATAAACAAATATATAAGAACTTTGTGGCATGTATGTAAATCCCCTTAAAATCATAGTGAAAGTAAGATCAATTCATTCAACAGATTTGAAATATAAAATCATTTAAATAGAAAGACAACCATAGAATGTAGGAACAAAACCAAATATGGGGTACTGAAAAAACAATCTTCACAAAGCATTAGTATCAACAAAAGCAAAATAATTTAGAAGAAAACAAAAAATGGCAATACCCATTGTGGCACAATCTGCACAACTTCCTCTGAAGACTTTTGTTTAAATAGTAAACACAATGCAGTTAAAGCTTTAACCTGAACCAAAATATATATTAGAATTTCATGCATGATGTAGAAAAGAATCAAACTAGATAGAAGTCAATAGTAAAATAATTGACTTGAGATCTTAAATCTAAAATCCATCATACAAGTATTAGTTTAGTGAAGCCGTTAAAATTGCTCAGAAAGGCCATCTCTAGTTCATTAAAGTACATGGAAAATAGCTTAAAAAGGCTTTTACAAGCATAATATTGCAAGGTTTCATATCTGCTTGTGATCATTATCTCTAACAACGAAATTCCAAATTGCATGTGCCCTTCTGAAATTTAAATTCATTATTACATTTAACACTTTCATACACAATAATAAGTAGCAAGCATATCTTGAATATGTCCAAGTCTGAAGAACACAGAGTGAATGTCTATTGCCCCTTAGATATAAGAATCTGCAGCCCTGATTGTGTGATTTCTTCTAACATACTTATATTGATTATTGTACAAGCTTTTAGTACTTTAACAGGCATAAAATTTAAAGGAAGAAAGCCAGGTCAAGTTAAATTAAAAGTAAATAAATAGATAGATCACAGAAGACAGTTAAGCCAACAAAAAGTAAAATGAAACTAGACAAGTTTTCCTCTCAAAGCAATAAATGCATATGCACAGAGTTCTGGTGTAATAGAGGTGAGCCAGTTTATTTAAGCTTTATTCAAAGGATAGAAAAATAATTCAATTTTTTTAGGAATGACATACAATGAGCATTTCTACAATTAAGGCCTTGTTTTTTCAATATTGTATTGTTCATGTGTTGTGCAAAAGAAAGTGATCGCTGCTCTCCTAAGGATAGCCAAGCTTCTCTGCAAGTATGTTGTCCATAATCTTGAAGCCATGGAGGAGGTGTGGGCCTAGAAAAAGAATTTACATGACATGTTACCAGCACACATCACAATTATGATATGCCAACTGCAAAGATTTTGGAAAGCACAGTACAGAAATGCATAATGAAATGAAGCCTAAGTTGCTCATTAGCAATCATGTGGCATAGCCGGTTAGATTAGGAAGTGAGAAGGTCCAACTCTTCTAAAGAATATTTTTCCTTTTGGTACAGAATGCTTTTCTTACTTTGATGGTGATGATATCCTTTTTTGCATGACAAACATTTATCGATATGTTGAGTTTATAGAAAGATAAATCAAAATCTCTCTGACCCAAGTGGCTACTGATAGTTCATTAAAATGAAAACTTGCTTCTCAGAAGTAAATCAAACAAGTACTTCGACAATGTATATGCCTTCTACCTAAAGATAAAGTACCTTAACCGTTGTAAGACAACAGCATTACTCCACCATAAGGTTCCAACAATCAAATCGAAGATGAGTGAAGCTAAAAATATAGCTTGATGGTGGTGGTTCAGAAAAAAGTATTACTTAGATAATATTGTTGATAATGTGACAATAAAATGATGACAACAACAACATCAACATCAAGTTTTTATCCCACTACATGGGGTCGGTTACATGAATCCTTTTTCTCCATTGTGTCCAATTAAAAATTAAATTCTCATTTAAATCTAATAAGAAAAGGTCATTCCGAATATTTTCTAACCAAGTCTTTTTAGGTCTGCCTCTACCTAAAAAGAAAACAACTTGTCTTCTATTTTGATGTGTATGTGAGATGAATTGAAAATTTGCAAAGAAATGTATAAAACATCAAACTTAACTATAAGTAAAATAACAGCCTTTTGCATGTGAATGCTTGTCTTTAAATCATAGAAAAACATAGAGAGGCATGAAACAGTATTGGTCTATTGAGTGGAGGTGACCAAAAAAAACTCGTAAATTACATCTTATAATCATATCAAAATGCATGCTATCAATCTCATGGGCTTTGGTTTTGGTTTTGTCATAACCTGAAGTTTTGAATATATAAGATGATAGCATAAATAACCTAAAATCTGTCTTAAAGCGCATTGGAAACCCTTGATATCATGTTTTTTTTAGATGCCACTAATTCATATCTGCCTCAAACATAAGCGAATCTTAGCACCAGCATAGCTTGAAAGTTGAGATACTTCTATTAGCAGGCTTTAAATAGCCAAAATCATACAAAGTAGATTTTCCGAGGTATCCCAAATAGTATTGTAATTAGGATGCATGTAACTTAATCTTCGTCTCAATTGATCATTTTTAGTAGTTATCCGGGTTTTTCTTTTCCCAATATAATCCTAAATATCGAACTCAAGTAACATTCAAAAATGAAAAAGTTAAAATATGTCAGCAGAAAATTCAAAGTACGAAATTAACAAGGATTAAATCTAGAGGATTAATTGATGAAATAGTTAGTACCAAGTAGTCTTTCTAAGTTTAACATAACAAAAGAAACGAGGCAAATTAATTTTCACAGTAAATCGTAATATATAGGCATTACCTTTGTTGTAGGATCCTTTCTGCCAAGCCTCCTCAGGTGTTGTGCCACTTCATTATCCACGTTCTTCATGCAACAAATCGATGTTAAAGAGGAGATATGCAAGCACTTGTATATTTATTTCGCATAACAAGAGTGAAATAAATAACTCAACTCAAAGAAAAAAATGTGAATGAAAGGATAGAATTTCATAAATGAAGCAAATAAAAAGATCATGCAAAGAAAGTGAAATCAGAAGCATTTAGATTTGATGAATATTTGTGCATGTCTACTGTATAGACCATCATGCATGCAACTATTCAAATTTTAAAGTACCAATGTCTATAGATCTTGACGCATTATGACATCTGGTTGGAGATGATCTAGGTAGATAGGAATTTATTTATGATTTTGAATTTTAAATTTATTAGAAATTAGCAATTTTTAATATTTATGCCTTATTTTCATGAAGATTATCCAATAATTAGCCTTAGGGGTAGTTTGGACTTATAATTTATTAAGAATAGTAGGTTTTTATATTTATCTCTTACTTTCATAAAGACTATCCACTAATTAGCCTTAGGGTTCTTCGGACATATAACCACTAATTCTTTATAAATAACATGATATGATGAATAAATATTTTGATTCATGGTTTTATGGGATTTCATCTCCTTATGGATGTCTGATGATCCACATAATCTTATTTGTAATTCGAGGATTTAACGCCTTGCCATGAGGATTCCATGGCATGATGTCACGAGAATTTGATATCAACATGAGATTTCATTATTTGGTATATTGTTAATATGATTTTGTCACATTTTTCGTGATTCCATTGTAAATCATGTGTTACATATGGATGTGAATGCTACATGATGGAAAGTACATAAGTGAGAGCTTACCCAATAGGTATTTAACTCACCTATTCAAATTCTAACAAAACATTTGCAAAACCTTCTATAGAAATCGACATGTAATCCGGAAAAAATAAATAAATAAATCAAAATTTTCTCTTGTTAACCTTTTGTCATTTCTAATCTCTTCTTCAACAAACAAAATACAATTTAGTCATTTCTAATCTCTTCTTCAACAAACAAAAAGCATAATCAAGGAATTTTCTGGGTGTATCTTCTATGTTCAAAAAACTCAATTTAGCCATTGAAAAACTCGACGAAAAAACAACTTCAATGTGCTCCTTACAAAATGAACTTATGATTTCTTCTAGTTGACAAATTTCATCAAGTTCCATGTTCCCTTTGCTTCATGTAAATATATTTTTAAAATATTCTATCTAACAAGTTTCTCACAATATTTTTCGAGCTACTAACTTTCCACCATTCTTTTGTAAGTTTTATTTCCAAACAAATCTATTTATATTTTAAAATTATTTACTTTGTTGAGACACTCGTTTTTAAAGGAATTCTCACAATGGTAGATGAAACATTGTTCAATAGATATATTTCATTAACCATAAGAAAAAAAACTTTGAAGGAAAGTGTGACATATTTGAAAATCATTGTGACTATAGAAATCATCAAATTGTGAACATATTCTACAGGAAGTTTCTTCCAATACACCATGAGCACGGCCATTTTGAAGTTCAAAAACTAAATTTATTAATCGTTCCCATTGTTCAAGGACGTTTGCAATTTAAAGTTTGTTTAATATAGTATGCATTCATCATGGGTAACAATCTTTAAAATGTTTGAAATTTGTCATTTTCATTTCAATCTAAACTTATTTTAATTAACTTGAACATTTTATTTGTCTGATATTGAACAGTTAATTAAACATTGTGGAAAAGCAAATCCTATTAACAAAAGATGCAGCACTCCATTCTTTTATTTTCTTCTTTTTTTTTCAAGAAGTGCCTAGTCTATTGATCATCATGATGATTAATTCCAAGATTTGAAGCTCAGGCAAACATACAACTCAACAATAACATGATAAATTTCTAGCTTACATGTTCACAATAATTATATAAAGATATTATATTAATCCTATCTTTAAATTGATTGTTGGAACCTAATCCATTTACAAGTGTTCTCTATCAAGGTAAAAAAATAAATCTTCCCAACTTGATATTAATAGCATTCTAATATTAACTTTACCGCCATAATTGCAACCAATGGTAGTCTTTCAAACTTTCAATCCAAAGCCTTATCCATCTATAATTGTTCCCTATTAAGGTACAATAATAAGCCTTGCCAACTAGATATTAATGACATGCTCATATTAACCCCACTATTATAGTTGCAACAAACTGTAGTAATTCACACTTTCAATCAAGTTTAGTGTTAAAATGCTACTGATAGAAGCGTCACCAAGAATAAGCTTAATTTACTATTGGATTCCACAAAACATTAGGGGGCATAAGATTCTTTACCTTGTTTTAAATGAAATAGATTTCCTAGAAAAAAACTTCTTTTTGAAATATCTACCTTGTGTCTCATAATGTGTCACTTGTAAATGATAATAAATTTCCTTTTCAAAGAAAAAAACATGGCTAGTCACAAATAAACTAAAGATAATCCTGTTGATGCCATTCCACGGCACTAGGATTAGGAGAACTCTTACACCAAAGGATAGAAATAACTCATAATTACAAATTAATAATAGCATTTAGTATCAAAATCATTTGTTCAGTATAACTAAATAGATAACTAGTCCTAAGAATATTGTTTGATAAGCATATAACAATAAATAAACAAATAAAAATTAGCCAAATTATTAAATATTTAGTATCAATAAATATTTTAACTAGTTGCTTGTTCCTAATTCAACAAGGTAATTATTTAATAGCAACAAATTTATAATATTTTCACCAATTACCATGCATATAATTAGTGGCCTAATAGATTTAACTTTTTATACAGCAATAAATATAATTATAATCCAAGTTAATAAACCCTTAGTCTAAATGCAATCACTTGATTAATAGCTCAATCAATCACTAGCTGGATTAGAACAAACTCTTGTCACTCTTCTGTTTTAGATCTGCACATTGAATAAGCTAAACAAAGCTAAATCCAAACAAACCCAACATTGCAAGAGATTTAAAAAAAATATGAGAAAAACTCTATAATTAATCAAGCAAAATGACCAATATTTACAATTATACCAAGAATGATAGAGATTCTTATGTGAGGAAGAAGACTCGACTTGGAACTCCCAAGATCGAGCCTTGGAACTCAATCTTGAAACTCCCAAAGTTATTTTGAGGATTGCACAAAACAAATTATGTATTATTCTTCCTTAAGGGTCATAAAGATTTTTTACCTTGTTTCAAATGAATTAGTTTTTTAGGAAAAAAACTTTCTATTTTGAAATATCTATCTTCTGTCTCATAATGTATCATGTGTGAATAAAAATGAAATATCATTTTCAAAGACTACCCATGGCTGGTCACCAATAAACTAAAGATGGTCCTCTTAATGCCATTCCACCAAAACTAGGATGAGAAGAAATCTTATACTAAAGGATACAAATAACTCATAATTACAAATCAATGATCGTATAAAGTATCAAAACCATTTGTTATTTACTGAATAGATAACTAGTCCTAAAATATTATTTAATAAACATATAATAACAAAAAAAAACAAATAATAGCCAAATTATTAAGCATTTACTATTAATAAGTATTATAACTAGCTGCTTGATCCCAATTTAACAGGAACATTATTCAATAACTAACAACTAATTCATAATATTTTCATCAATTGCCATGCATGTAGTTAGTGGCCTAAAGCAAATAAACTTACATACTTTATTGCAATAGAAGTTATAATAAACCTGGTTAATAAACCCTTAGTCCAAATGCAATCATTTGATCAATGGCTTAATCAATCACTATCCGGATTAGAACAAACTTTTGTCAAACTAATGTTTTAGATTTGCACATGTAACAAGCTAAACATAACATAATCCAAACAACCCATAAATCGTAAGAAATTTAAAAAATGATCATGAGAAAACTGCAACATTAATCAAAAAAAAATTACCAACATTTAGGATCATACGAAGAATGATGGAGATTCTTCTATTGAGTAAGAAGACTTGATCTTGGAACTCCGAAGATTTAAACTTTGAACTCGATTAGCAAACAAGAAAATAAACAATAGCCTAATTATTAAACATTTAATATTAATTAGCATTCTAACTAGCAGCCTGCTCGCAATTCAACAAGATCATTATTCAATAACTAACTAATTTATAATATTTTCGCCAATTACAGCGCATGTAATTAGCAGCCTAATAGCAATAGACTTAATATACTACACTGCACTAAATTTAATTATAATCCTAGTTAATAAACCCTCAGTCCAAATGCAATCGTTTGATCAATGGCTTAATCAATCAATAACCGGATTAGAAACAACTCTTGTCGTCGTGTTTTAGATCTTCACACGGAACAAGCTAAACATAGCTGAATTCAAACGATCCCTCAGTTGCAATAGATTAAAAACCAAAAAAAAAAAAAAAACGATTATGAGAAAGGTCCACATTTAATCAAACAAAAAGACCAGTATTTACAATCATACCAAGAATGACGGAGATTCTTCTGTTGAGGAAGAAGACTCGATCTTGGAACTCCCAACGTAACCTCCAAATCCAATGCTTGACGCTCCCACCGGCACCAACGACGCAGCAAGACTTAAAAATAAAAGAAATCATATAACAGACGTTTAAGGCTACTCTGCAGTGAGAAGAGGAATCAAGCCAACAAAAAATAATTGGAATAAATTAAAGTAATGTCCAGGAGGAATCGACCTGCTACTCGAAGGGCGATTCTTGCTCCTTGCGCCTTCTCCCTTCTCCTTCCCCATCAAAAAACCTAGAAAAATGAGCGTCTATATTTTGAGGGAGGGCGATATTGTGGAAGAAGAGGAGGAATGATGGTGGCTGAAACCTGGCGCCGCCAACGGGTAGAAGAAAGAAGAGTCGGTGTTCCCCAGTTAAGAATTTATGACAATAAAAATTAGCAAAATATATTAAAAAATTATTATGCATATTAACAACTTACTAAACATAATATCCTCCTGCAACCATAGTGTGTGTGATCAATTGCGTGTAAGATATATAAGCAATTTAAGAATCAAGTTTATTTATCATGAAAGTTGTTGAATTTTAAAGTTTAATCAAAATTATTATAAAGTAATCACAAATTTTATTTTACATGGGAATTTTATAATTTCATAAACTAAGAAGAAAAAAGGGCATGTCAAAACATTCAATATGTTTAAAAGTATGGATTATATATCATTATTAAAATTTATTCATGATCATGTTTGCACAACAACAATATATATTCATGGAATTAATACTATAACTTAAGATAAGATTTTGAATAATTAAATATTTATAAAACTTAAACGGATATAAGACCACATAATGAGGAAGAGTTACAATTACACGAAATTTTGACATTTAATTCCATGTCTTTCATATTTAGATGTTGGATATCTTAGATTATTCATTTTTGAACTTATGCAATCTAAGCTTTTATTGATATGCCTTTGTTGGTTCTCCATTAGACATGCCTATAATGAAAACCTCTTACATTAAGGCACCTAAACAAGGTTAGGTTATAATATTAAAGACAACTAAAGTCTATGTTTTTTTAGGTGGTGATGGATGCAAATTAGGGCCTTCAAGAATTCACATATGTGACGATGAACTTATAGTTTAGATAGCTTTTTTATAAATGTGTATATATACAATGTCATAACCCAACCCGATAAGACCCACAAATGAAACAGATCCTATCATGTTGGCTTGCAACAAGTCAAACCCAATATCAAAGTTTTGAGAAACTTTTCATATGTTTTCTTCCAATATAATATAGAAAACCAACAACATAAAATATAACTGCTAATAAATGTCAATATAAAGAAAATAACTCAACCACAAAATTTATTTTTATTTCTCATCAAAATGCATCTATAACAATTACATTATAGTGTGTGTCTACATACTGACCTATATAACAAAAAAATTTAAATAACTAGCCATTATGGGCCTCTGAAAGGATATCGCTAAATGGGCACAAAATGCAGATGGTATGATCGCACTATCCCATAGGACAAAACGGTCGTAGGCCTTTGCACTCTTCGCAAGCGAGCCAATGGGAGGGTAGATGAGATCATACATATGATTAACCACTGAGGATAGCTGCTTTCACCTACGCACCTCGATGAATAATGATATGTATAACCTAATCAAAGTCACGAGAATTTTCCCATTTGATACATCAGCTCAAGTTGGGTTTATTTCATGTGGGATTCAATTCCCCACGGGCGCAAGCCCCCATGGTTAATTATATCTTATGTCGGGACCTAAAAAGACTCTCGATTAAGGGTATACATTATTCTCTTATATGATATTGGCACATATGGAGGAGTCTAGGAGCTTCCTATTCAGAGGGAAGAAAGACTCAACTTGGCTTAGTCAACATGCATGGTTCATATCATCATCCAAGAGGGCTAATGTAGGGAAACAAATTGAAGAAAGATAACACTGCACTCTGAGCATACAAAAAAGAAAGATGGAGGTGGAGACATCCATGTGACGTAGATAGGTGTGATTTATAGTCGTTGAAGGATAAAGGACTTACCTGCCGATGAGGCATACTACGGGATACTGATAGTAGTAGCTTTCAACCCTAAATTTAGAATGGTTTTAGTATTCTACGCATAATACTAATACCCATATTCTAGCTAATGCATTCTATATTTATATCCTTCCTAAAAAGGAAAGTCAGCTAACCACCTAGCGTATAAAATCTATATTATCCATTCTTTATGAAAGATGGATGGGGGGCTACGTCTTTGGAAATTAAGGCCGATATCTAAACTCTACCTGTAGGCAGGGAAGCGACTAAATAAGGAAAGAGAAAATGCATTAAGAGCATGCGACCCCGAAAAACCTCTAGCTCATTTCCTAGATCGTTATCTTTCTATACTACTTTATTTCTAAAATTTTGAATTTTAATCACGAGTAGAAGAATTTTATCACTGAGAAACTAAGAAATTAGGCATATTATATATATATATAAACCATAACAAAAAGTATGTCATTTCTACTGTGCAAAAAAGTAAACACATCATCAAAACAAACATCAACCAAAGAAAAAAGTATCTAAAATTCTATATCAAGTGTCATATAATATACAACCTAAAGTCCGCAGAGAAGTAATGGTTGTCAGACTTTACCGACAATAACCTAGATTCTAATCCTACAGAATGATGTAAATCTTAAAAAAAAATCATGTATTTTTTATCTTGACCTTAGTCTTCTAGCTTCTCTATTGGTCTCTTTTCTTCAACTTTCTCATAGTATGTTCTCTAGAAGGATATCCAAATGAAAAAGAATTCCATGTAAGGGGCTTTATTTTCTCTTTGGATCCATTATATTTAAAATGCTTTATTTTTTCTTCTTAGCATTGTATGAGCATGACCATCTATAAAAGATATTATAAGTATCAAAATTACTCCTAACATACATGTAATATATCGTCAATCACATCATAGAGATAAAACAGTAATTAAAACCATTTTCACAGTAATTATCATAAAAAGCTAAAATAACCAGCATGCATGTCACATGTAAATTGCCACATCACAAAAATAGAAAGGAAAAAATCACCAGCCTAATCTAAAACTAGAAATTGTGTCCTAATAAATAGTTATATGTGTGTAGTAGGTTGTATGGTCTCGGGTATGTCCTATATTGGATAACTAGTTCAAGTTATTTGTGATTTGATTTATTGAAGGTCAAAGAGAAATTTTAATTAAAATTTAAATATTAGTGTCTTGAGGTCAATTTTAATTAATTTATTTGGTTGGTCAATTTTAATGTTTATAATAATATTCCTTAAAATTTAAGTTGAATTAGTAAATTTTGGAATGCCTGGGTTTATCATATCCGCTAGATCAAAGGGGTCCAAAATTAACCTTTAGAATCCAACTAAGTTATGGAGTCCTAGTATGTTTATTAAATATTAGATCCTTTGGGGAGTAATTAGACTTTAAGTTTGCTAGATTTGGAGTTTATGATTTTTAATAGTCTGGCATAGTTATTGAACTATGGTTGACCAAGGAGTTGACCTTTTTTATTTAGGCTGATTTCTAAAATATTCATATTTTTAATAAATACTAAATTTTAATTAGAGTTGAATATTTTTTAATTTAGTTAATTTAATTTTTTTTTAATTAGTTATAATTTTTTAAAGTTTGGATATTTGATGAATTATTAAAAATAACTTAATTAAGTGTATTTTAGATATTTTCATTTAAATGAAGTCCAAACTTCTTGGGATCACCTCAAAAAGTTAGGAATAACAAAAGAAAGTGTTTTCAAGTGTTTGAAATTTTTTTGAAATTTTTAACATTTTTAATTAATTAATTCAATTAAAGGATAATTTTTAATTAAAATTAAATTAGTATCTAAATTAAGGTCTAATTGAGGAGCTTTAAATTTTATTGAACTAAGAATTTAATTCTAAAGAGCTTAATATATTATTTGCAATTTTTGGGTTTAATTTGGTTTTATTATAATTTTATGAAATTTTGGAGTTTAATTAAAGGAGTAAATTAGGGTTAAATAATTAAGTGACTTAAAGGGTACTAAAAATTTCTAAAAAATTTCTGAGGGTCTTAAATGTCACTAAGTTTAAATGGTTTAAGTTTAATATCATTTGGAGTTGTATCCTAATCCATAGAAGTTCTTTAAGTTAATATCCTTAAGATGACACTAGGTTGAATGGGTTCAAATTAAGTGTCATGACTAACCTTTGAATAACATAGGTGAATGAAACACACAATTATAAACCATATCCTTAGAACTAAGAGAAGCCTAGGCTAAGTACTTATGCATCTTAAGCATGTAAAAATTAAACACTAATTAATATGACTAATTATATGATTAGTGAATAATTGGAGTATAATTATTCACTAATCTTTCCCCATTAATTCCATTCACATACTCAACCTATATTTAAGATTTCAAAGAGATCTCTCAATATTAAAAAAAATATTAACATATATATAATTTTAAAATAAAATATATAAATATATATATATATATATATAATATATATATAATTGTTACATATGAAGAATTAATAAAGTTTTAAAATAAAATAATTTTAACATGTTATTGGGAAGATCCTTTGATCATTTAAAATAATTTGCAAATAATTTTTTATTTTAAATATTTAATATAATATTAATTAAATATTAAGATAACTAAATAATTAAAATAAATTACATTTTGAATTTTAAAATTATTTTTAAATTAAAATACTTGATTTTTTGAAAATTTTAAGATATTGCATTTATATTATGATTTAAATTGAATTTCTTTTTTAATTTTAAAAAAAATTTAAGATTAATTCAATTATATAAATTAATTTAAAATTATTTGATACATAAAATATTTCTTAAATTTAATTTAACTAAGCCCTTAAAATGTTTCTAAAGTTTTCAAATATTAAAATAATTTTCTTTTATATTTTTAAATTATAATAATTAATTTATTTAAATCATTACTTAAATATTTAAAGATTTGATTAATGAGAATAATCAAAAATTACAATATATCTTAAACTAATTTTAATTTATTATTAACATAATTAAAATAATTATTTAATAATTAAAAATATTTTATATGAAACTTTTAAAATAAAAAATATTTAATACTAATTAATTAAATATCATTAATTGTTCAAATATTTAAATAATATAAATTATTTAAAATCACATTAGTATTTTGACTTAAAGTTTTAGTTTGAAATAATAAAAATATTTTTAATAATTTAATTAAAATATTGAAAATAAAATTTGGAATTTTTTTAAAATAAATAGATTATTTTTAAATAAATTTAATTAAAAAATGTAAACTATTTAAATTTTGATAAATAATTCAAAATAATAAATATTTTTTATTTATTTTT